GTTCTTTCTACTATTCGGCAAGCTTTTCAGCATTTATACCCATTAGTGACAGTTAATCGGTACACCACTACCGGCCGCTGCGGCGATGACATCTGTCATCAGCCCCCTGGCGCTCTACCGCACGAACATGCCTCCTCAACAATTCTACACACCTCCCAACCTGTGGTAATACCAACCGCAGTATCCCATGACTCGGGTTCAAGCCTTGCCCAAACAAGTGACATACCTCCGAGAAAACGGCGCGCTGATGAATATCAAGAGCCACCTGCTCAAACTATGGAACATCAGCAGTCCATCACCGATGAGGAGGCACCTTTTACTGAGGTGATTTAAAAAGAAGACTCGCAAGGCTGGCATTCCGGTGTTGTTCAAACTCAATGATCCATCCCAGTCATTCTGGAAGGTCAACCATAATAGGTTGGCGCAAGAAATCGTCGCAGCATCCCAAGAGAAATTCCTGTCTTAACGCATTGACAAAAAAGGAGGACTAACTGTCACTGTGGCGTCCGCCGAAGCAGCGAACAATTTGCTAAAACTAAACGCCCTCGCGGGAATCAAGGTGGATGTCGCTGTACCACAGTCGTACTCGAAAAATCTGGGGAAAATCTGGGGTGTGCCACTTGACTACAGTGATGATCAACTCGGTGAAGACTACGAGACAGACGACTTCAGATGAAAACAAAACACAAGCTCGAATATTTGGGAAAACGCCAATGGAAGAGTCTTTCGGATTCAATATTACCGAGCACCCCGAAAATACAAGCATGGCGCATAGTTCGCTCATTAAAATCGCCGGTGTTACAACGCCAACCATTGCGCGCGCTAGCACTTCATCGAGGTGTTAGCGATATGAATATAGCCAAAGAATTTTGCAGAGCAGTGACGCAACACGTTTCTACAGCCATAGCAAACACGGATCTGAAAACCCCATCCCCGCGGCTATCAACATTTTACAACCATATCATGAATCTGCCATTTAACAAAAGTGAACTGAAATGGGCATTGAGAAAGCTCAGGCGAAAAAGTGCCCCAGGACCTGATGGTATCACTCCGGCTGCACTGACGAATATTGGGAAGCACGCAATGTCCTTTTTTCTGGATATGTATAACCAATGCTGGGCTAGTGGTTGTATGCCCCTTGTCTGGAAAGAAGCAATTTTAGTGCCTGTTTTAAAACCTGGAAAATCCCCTCTAAGCATCTCATCTTTTCGTCCAGTGAGCCTCACCAGCGTGCTGATGAAGACAATGGAACATATGGTCTTACAGCGACTAAATTGATGGTTAGATTCCAGTGGAATATTGCCGTTCCAAATGACCGGTTTTAGGCGGAACATTTCAGCTATGGATTCTGTACTCGATCTCGTGACCTGTGTAGAACACGAATACAGCATTCACAAAATCACAGTAGCAGTGTTTCTAGACATTCAGCGGGCATTTGACACTGTTAGCCACTGCCATGTTATCGAACAGCTTCAGCGACTAGAAGTAGGTGACCACCTAGTGAACTGGATGAGTGATTTCCTCCATGATCGATCGGTGTACGGACGGACGCCCAATGGTTTTACATCAAAGCACTATGTTTCACAAGGAGTTCCTCAAGGAAGCGTATTAAGTCCCAGATTATTTAACTTTGTATTGACAGAACTCCCAGGTCTATTACCGGATGATGTATCAATTTCCATGTATGCTGATGACATATCTATTTGGTCACCAGATGCTAATCCCAGTGCAATTCAGACTCGTCTCGAGACTTCACTTTTAATAATTGAACAATTTCTCATTGAACGAGGTCTGTCGATCTGTACTGAGAAATCTGCGGTCCTTCCATTTACACGACGAAGACTCAATAACTTTGAACTCACGCTTGGAGGGCAACCTTTGCCTTTGGTGAAGGCTCATCGTTTCCTTGGGGTGTACATTGACCGAAACCTGTCTTGGACAGCTCATGTAATATATTTAAAAAGAAAGATAGCGCCATACATCAATATCTTACGCTGCTGCTCTGGGACCAGATGGGGTGACTCTTCGAAAGCACTTTTAACTCTCCATGGAGCACTCGTTACACAGTCCCTTTCGTATTCACTTCCAGCATTATGTGGGCTCTCCCGGACTCTTGAAACGCGACTCAAACATCTAATAGCCCGCAGCCTCCGAATCTGCTTGGGAGTACCAAGAGCCACAGCAAGCTCCTTGGTGGTTGCAGAAGCTCACGCCCTCACAATACCGATTCTACGTGGACGGGAAACTCTCCGACATTTCATTCGCCTTCTTACACGACATCATGATCACACACTCATAGCAACTATCCGCCGTAGGACATTTTCGAGTGTACATAAAGTTATAATGGCTAATGCAGATGTAATTCCCGCAAACTTCGCACTCCCATATGAATCTCCAGCTGCGCTTTGGACATTTTACTCTGCAAATATTTCTACATCAGTACCTGGAGTTGTGAAAAAATGGACTTTAAACCAAACCACGTTGAAGCAAATGACACTTTCAATGCTTTCTGAAGCCCCAGATGACGTCACTGCGGTCTACACGGATGGGTCAACAAGCGATTTATTATCTACAGCAGCGTTTATAATTCCATCTTTAAATATAGAAAAAAGCTTCTTACTTTCACACAAGACAAGCTCAACTAACACATAACTATTTGCTATTTTGCAAGCGGTTCTCTACTTTACTCAGGAAACAAGTATTACCAGTTGGACTCTCTACACGGATTCAATGAGCGCACTGAACATGATAAAATACATATCACCAACAAGTTCATCTATTGCCATTAATATTTGTTTCCACCTTTCGAGAGCTTTTGAAACTGGACATAAAATTAATTTTCAATGGATCCCTGCACATTGTGGCATTCAAGGCAGCCAAAAATGCCCACAATATAAATACCAAGACTGCAATTACTTTCACGAAAGGAGACACATCAAGCCTGCTCAGAAGGACATCAAGGCAGAGCTACTTGTTATAGAGACGCTCCTCAGAACTACCATCTCGAACGGATTGACCCTAACTTAAAATTTTGGATGCCAAGACACATTTCAAGAGCTTCTGAAACATTGATACACAGACTTCGATTAGGTGTTCCTTTTGGACAACATTTCCTACATCGAATACGACAAGTTACCTCCCCTTTGTGCACCACATGTAACGAAATATACGACGCAGAACACATACTAATCAACTGCCGAAGGTACACAGATGAACGAGACCATCTTCGAGAACAAATGTCTACTATCGATAACCGCCCATTGTCCCTCACAACACTCCTTGGTCCATGGAACACACGAAGGAACCTACAAACTGTGATCGGGTATCTTGGAGATTATCTGGAGGACACAAAATTAAGTGAGAACTATCGACAAGAACAAATTTCATGTAGAGTACGCTCCTGGCATGCCGTCGCTGTGCTGCGGCCTATTTTTGGAAGGGACAGGACACCGTTCTGGAGGCTGCCGGTCCGAGGACCAGGTAGCGTGGATACTTCCTCATAGTGAGGACGGTTGCTTAGTCAAAGGACGGTGCCTCCCACCAGGAATGGTCGGACGTATTGTGACGTCGGGTTTTGGATATTGTACATATTTAAATGATCATTTTATTGTATACCTATATATGTACATATTCTTTTTCTTTTTTGTCAAATTTATATGCTGCTTATAATTTCAATCAATGGTCTGGAGTAGCCGGCGCTGGTCCTGCAGATGCTAAAATCTCCACTTTAAACGTTTTATTTTAATAAAGATTTATTCTCTCTCTCTCTATAGCCCATGAAATGCTGTATTTAAGGTTCGATTGTTTAAAATCATTTAGAAGAAATTAAGCCGTCATTTTGGGAAGTAAACAACCGTTATTTTAATAAAATTCTTCGAAACATTGAGCGGGCAAACTAATGTTATATTCGACGGGCCGCTTTCGGGCGCTCCAATCCTCTGAATCGGATCTGCGAAGTCCGAGAGCGCCTCCAACAGTGGCGTAGTCAGGGGGGAGGCTTTTGGAGTATCCAGTGACGGTAAGTTTAAGAAATTACTTTCATTGGATTCAAAAGTTATACTGAAATAATTTCCGGAAGTTTTCATTGAGAAAGTGGCGACCGGCGATGCCCGCAACTACATGGAGATGAATGCATGGTGTCTGTTACTGGGGATTCTCACCACAAAACTAAACTACGCATCAAACCATCTCCGCCCAAATGTGGCGCTAGCGGTTGGGAACCGATGCAAAAGTTTAGCAGCTTACCGTCATTGGATTCAAAAGTTATACTGGATGATTTCCGGAAATCTTCACTGAGAAAGTGGCGGCCGGCAATGCCCGCAAGTACATGGAGATGAATGCATGGTGTCAGTTACTGGGGATTCTCACCACAAATCTAAACTATATATACGCAAGTCACCGACGTATTCGTGATTCACGTGCCAGTTGCTATTGCTTGAATTGGTTGTCAGGCTTTATGCGACGCTAGGATGTCCCGACGACTCGGGGCCGTAACTCGAGTTACTCGACCTACCTACTCGCAAGGTGTGCAAAAGTTCTCAGCGGGCACTGCGTAAATTAAAGTGCGAATGGGACTTAACCGGTGTTCTACCAGAATGCATCTGTGTAAGCATTATTGAGAGAGCCCCTACTTTACCCAACAAAAAACGCCTCTAATATGAGACACGTACAGCATGGATTTGAGCCAAAATCACTTCTCGCTACGCAAGCATCCATACAACGAATTTTACTTTTAGTCGAAATAGGCGGCCTCGATTCAAGCATGATGAACAAAAAAGATGTGTGTAAACTGGCTTTATTGATAGGCTCTGCTACCGTTTTTAACAAAAGTATTCAGATATTCCAATACTTGCGCTGCACACGAACACATCACTTTTTTCTGAGGTCTTCAAGGGAGAAAAAAATCGAGTAGGTTTCGAGAAATCCCTGGCCCCTCTTTTTCCCAATCTCCCCCCCCCCCCCCCCCAAAAAAAAAAAAGAAGAAAATACAGGTGCTATTTTACTTTTTTCGCACATGACATTCATTCCAACGAATCGCAGCGGAATCAACTGTTCGCCGAGAGGGGGAAATTAATACTATTTAAAATACTTTCTACCATTTGCACGTACTCATACAGCAACTAACAGCGTTTGTTGTGGTATGGGCAGTTTATTGGAGTCCCCTTTTGACTGATACGAATATCACATTCCGTTTCACACAAAACGATGAAAATTTTTCGAAACACACCGTGCATGCGCTGGGGCTGTTATTGCACCTTCCGCGTCTCCCACTCCCACGGGAACCAAGTTGTCCACGCGTCACTAGAAAAAAAAATAATTAAAGCGAGTAACTTTTAGACATGGGTATGATCAAGCGCACAATATACTGACATGTTTGAAACAACAATGTGTGCGCGTTTTTTTTTTTTTTTTTCCGTTGTCAGCATGAGCACACTGGCATTAGTGCTGCCTTGTCGCCAGATATCGTTTCAATAGTGCATTAGAGCCGAACACAATCCAAGACTGAGACTCCGAGCTGGAGGTACAGACCTCTGTTGTTTTATTGTCTGTCCCTTGACTACGCATGCGTATGTGCTTCAACCGAAATGAACAGTGTCCATATCGCGACATTCCACTGCAACCCGTGTAAATGTCTGAACGGTGATCTACTGTGCCCTATACGTGTATAAACCGAGGAAGGGGAGGTGATGGCTCTTCTGGGGAAGGGAGCTCTAATTGGAATGATCAGAGGGCAGACGCAAAACTAGCTGCCTTTGTTTCTACTCATTGAACGCGTTCGAAGACGAACGCCAAAATGGACGCCGACGTTCGGCGTTCGAATGCGTTCCGTGTTCTGACGTCCCTGAGCACTCTTGTCTTCTCCTCTCCCTCCGTTTCTACCCGTATGACTTGCGGATAACTTTCTCTGGCTATGCAGGCAAGGCCATGGGCGTACGTGCGCTTGCACGTCTTGAGCGCCCATCAAAGCTGTGCACGCGCACTCTTCACTTCTTCCGAAATGCCTCACAGAAAGTTGACCGCGAGAATAGCACGCTGGAAAATATAAGTTACGCGAAATTGTTGACTCGAACGACTATTAGTGGAAACGTAGAGGGAAGTGGAAAAAGAAGTTATTTTTTTGTAGCGAAAAGAAACGTTCACTTTTCGTTCAAAAAGCTCCTTCGAGGTTGCGTATACGTTCTACACAGGACGCATCTTGTGTTGGGTTCTTTTGGACGCCCACAATTGATGACGATGGCACTCAGATCGTGTGGGCACCGCAGCGCTGAGCACGGAGGTCCTGGGAGGTACACCGGGCAGGACAGAAGGACTGTCTCCTTCTTGCGACGCCGTCCTGAAGTTCTGGTGGCGCGACAGTTGCTGCCTGCTCGCCGTCGCACATGCACTTCACCACATTGTCAATGGCGTCGCGGGTCTCGCACTTTTGTTTGTTTGTTTTGTGGCGAAGATTTCGAAGGCTTCGCTCAGGAATACATGGTGCGAAGAGTCGCTGTCTTGTAGTATGGCATCACTGGGGTGTACGCGTCTCTTTTTGGGGGTTCGTATTCGTACGAAGCGTGGTTCTGAAAAATAATAAGAAAATAGTGTACAGTGAAATTAATACATTGATTCCATCTTGCTATCGATCCAAATTCCAATGTGCTTTGCGTGGAAAGCTTCAATGTGTGAAACTTTTGTAAACCTCGATTAAACGACATATTCAGGCAACTGGAGACCGAAGTTGGATGACTACAAAAATACATTACCGGACACGAATGAAGACATACACCAAATTTTTTCTTTGCCAATGGGTGCTAAATTATCGCTACCTAATTCTACGGTGTTTCTTGACCTTAATTAATGAAGTGTCGAGCAACATTCCGTAACGTATATGTCCTCTGTTTTGTGGCAATAATCCTATGCTAAAAAAAAAGAAAAAAAATGCTATCTGAGGACATTATAGATGGAAATTTGTTTAAGAGACGCAAGGTCCCTTTAGCCAATTCTGGTAGCGTTGCTTCTTTCGGGTACGAACGGACTTACCGGAGGAGGGCCATACATGGCTCCTCTGGAACGGGGCCTCTGGATGTGGCTGTAGTGGCTTTCCTCTGGAGGACTCGGGCTGCGCACTCGAGGAGGAGAGGCAAACACCGGAGGCGTCTTGGGCGGGGCCGTGGCCTCTGGCTGCTGCAAGGCAGAGTTCCAACCTCCGCGTTAGCTACCCTCTTGTAGCCTCGATACCACTTATGCTAAAAACGACGTTCTCTAGACTGCAACTACTAAAGCAGAGTAATGCACAGAATCGTCATTGTTGTTTTGTTCTTAGGCCTGCCGGAGAAGGAACTCGTTCCCTTTAGGGGATGTAGGCTCCGAGACTAAATATATAGTCAATATCGCCTGACGGGGTCCACGAACCCTCTATTGGAATATAAGAAGAGAAATATAGCGCTTTTTCTATTAATTAGAATTTCGCTCAAAGGCGCACACAAAAAACCTGGTTAATAACTAACATGCAATCCAAGCACAGTGAATGAAATTCAACATGTTAGAGTGAATCCATTCGCTATTACTACGACGTTGGTGGCACGACACATGTCATAGCTGAAACGAACGGTGAGGAAAGTGCGGAATTAGCAATTTTCGACAAAAAAGGTACGTCGAAGCAGCTCTAAATGCGTCTGTAAACTAGTGAGTCCATTGTCGTGTTCGATATTTTCCTCTTTCCCTTTTACAGACCCTTCATCCTTGAAAGCAATCGTTCAGACTCTTGTCTTCGCACTTACCACGTAGATATTTCCCATAGCGTCGGCGATGTGCTGCCACCTCATTCTGTCCTCCACGCTGACCCGGTAGGCTGGTCCGAGCGTGGACACCTTGCTCAGGTAGCCCAGGCTGCCCGCTGAATGCGCCGACATCACCTCCGCCTTGTGTTGCTCGCGCTTCCAGCGGCGGCTGCGACAATGGAAAGGAAAAGATAGCGCGGAGGACAAAAGGCCCCGTTACGTTCACGGCGTAGTGGCCGCCGAGGTCCACCCGCGAGACGTCCGCTCTCGTTTACACAGTGCAACGTCGTGTGAGCTCTTGTCCGTCTCGAGAGAACGAGTACACGCCGCCGGTATTGTTGCCGACGTGTCTTGAGATGCTTATGTCCGGCGCGGCACAAAAATCCCCACCGCGCAAGACTCTTGCTTGCGTCGTCCAAGGACGGTCTTGAACGAGTGCGGAGAAACTCGGCGCGCGGCGTGTGTTCGCTTGTTAGTGCACTGCGGACAATGGGGGGTGCGAAAAGTTAACTAGATCAGCTAGTCTCAGAAACTCGCACTTGTTTCTAGAGACGTGTTAGTCGTTTTGTGGCGGGAGACTGTTCACAAGGCGTTGTTACGCTTCCCAGGAACTGCACAGACAAAAGCGAAAAAGAACCACTGCTTTTTTTCTTCTTTTTTTGTTTGTTTTACTCATGCATGCCCGCAGCCACAGATGTCAGCGTCCACCAATTAAATCGGTGCAATTAGCGCTGCGTGATGCCTACAGGGGGTCGCGTTACATGGTGTAAGCAGCCAGACTGACTGCGAAGATAAGATCTTCAATGAAAAAAAGCAATCAATCAGATGGCTAAACACCGCGTCCAACCAACAAAGAGCAACGTGCAGAAAATGGAAGTACAGACAAACCTATTCACACCCTTTAATCCGTGGTGCGGGCTTAAGCATTAATGCTTAGGCCCGCACCAGGCGGAGCAACTTTCTCAGCAATTTCGGGGTTGCTGGCCAGCTGCTCCTCTTTGTTTAAAGATCTATACACGAATTGCTGAGTCGAGACGTCTCGAGACAAGCAAGCAACTCGGAGCAATTCGAAGACGTTCGAAGCTGCAGCAGCCAATCAGGGACGCGATATTTTCACGTGATACCCTGTGTCGCTGGTGATGACAGCTAAAGACCTGGTACCGGCTTGAAATTGGTAGTTTTGGAAATAAACCGTTTCAGAAAGCAGAGTTCGTATTATATACGCCATCTAAATGTACAGAAAATTAAGATGTAATGATGATGTTGGGAATCTGTAGCAATTCGGTTGCTGCGTGTGAACGCATGCGGCCTGTGTTGCAACGTCATGTTGCTGGGAGAAATTGCCCCGTCTGAAGCGGGCCGTAGACGTCATACAAAAGACGGTCCTCGAAGCACTGTCTGAGGCGTTCCCTGGATGACGGTCCTATATCTTTGGTCATACAGACATGTTCCAAGCATACGTACGTAGGAACTTGTAACCTATCCCCAAACGAATGTCTTTCAATTGTCGAGTATGAAGGTGCTGGAGCAGTGATTCCGGACTAGATTGTGCGTGCTTCATTACATCCGCATTTGTTGTTTCTGTGCATGTGACAATAATATGTAGAGCGCGATGTTGTAAACCTTTTGTTAATAGAAACAACTATCGTTAGGATGCTGATAGGATTACAGTGTCCTATTTTTAGTCTTCACCATAAATCGTTTAACTTCGGAGCATCCATCGAACCTTTTAGCTGACGTGACACCCTTAAGGTCACACTGCTTATACATCATACAAACCACAGTCTGCATACGGATTCGAACGCGCATCACCGCAAGATGCGTGCTTCGAAAGCCGCATGTCATTGAGTTCATGGAGAAAGTTCGGCCCGTGGCATTCGAACCACGGATATTGCAGTGACTCGTGTGTGCAGACTGCGTTTTCGTATGATGTATGAACAGTGTGGCCCCGGCTTTAGATGAGGCAACCTTCCCGGCAATTTGGGTGTTACTGGCGAGTTGCTCCCTAGCTTTCCCCACAATGTGGCACTGCGACACGAATCGCTCAGATCGCGTCCGGCTCGAAACGGACGAGAAACTCGAACAACTCGGAGACGTTTGAAACGGCAGCAGCCAATGAGGTACGCGATGATGACATGATGATGACAACTAAAGACTTGAATCTTGTTTGAAATGGACCGTTTCTGGAAATAAACCGTTTCAGAAACATGAGTTGGTATTCTGAACGCCATTTAAAGATATAAAAACAGGTTTTTAGCGCGCAACTGTGTGCATAGAAAGTGCGAGAAAATTAAAATATAATGATGATGATAATGGAAATTTGTAGCGATTCGGTTGCTGCGTGTGAACGCGGGTGGCCTTTGTTGCGACGCCAAGTTGCTCGGAGGAATCGCCCCGTCTGAAGCGGTAGCCCAAGGTCAACCTGATTCACGCCCAAACGATTTCTGTGTGTATGAGTGAGAAGCAGGTAAAACATTATAACCTCTTGATTTAACTAAAATAAGGTCGTCTTGTGAAGGTCACGTGTGAAAAATTGCTTCACTTTAGCAAAATTCAATCTCGTATAAATCTGTCTATTTGAATTTTTTTTCCACGGTGGTAAACAAAATACTTTTTTTCCGTCACCACTCTTTCCTGTCCATCCATCTTTAAAAGTATTCAAGTAATTCACTAAATGATTGACATGAATTACAATTTAACAAATTTACTCGTAAGTCTTGTATAGCGACCTGGAGGTAATTCAAGGTGGAGACCGGGGCGTCACTCACTTCCAGAGGCAAAGGCAGACAAGGGTGAGAACGATGATGATGACGGCGGTGATGGAGGCTCCCAGTGCCACCGCGAGCACCTCACCGTCGATGTCGCACCGGGCACCGATGTACTTGCCCCGGCAGCTGCGCGCGTGTAAGAAATCAGGTGCGACGGCAGTGCACAAGATGTTTTTAGCACTCCTCGACACGAGAAACCATTTTCGTGGCATGATTAGCTTGAAACTCCGGTTATCGGTGTTTATTTTTTTTTTCTTCACAAAACTCCAGGGTATAAAACGCTGTGAATTTGATATAGGCCTACATCGCGGTTTGTTTTATTTATGGTCTAAGTGATCAACTGTCATAGAAAGAAAAGAGCTATTAAAATAAAATAACACTTATTTATGAGTCATTAGTTAACGCTGTACGTAAAAATGTATGCCACGAGAACAGAAGTTATTCCACATCTGTTTTGGCGCTTTAAGCGGCTTAGAACGTTTGCACCGCTAGTTCATTTTACAGCATACCTTTAGTAAAGGCTCTTCGTATACGCATGAACATATTAGATAATCCTGAATTGAAAACACCCGGGAGCTGAAATGCTTCTGGCGGAAGCTCAACTTCGATGCGGAAACTTTCGAACTCTAAAAATGCAATAAAAGAACAAAAAAAAAAAAAAACAGACAAAGAGGTAAACAAGTTAAGGCACAGTTATCTGCGTTCCGTACCTGCATTCCCGGTGCCCGTTTGAGATACGGCACTCTCCCCTGAGGTTGCAGTAGTCCGGCGCACACGCTGAACATTAGGGAGAAAGCAAATGTAATAACACTGTACGATTTCTAATTGCGCGGTGCAAAGCCCAGTTCTTACAAGTAGATTAAAACATGTCAATATGTAATAAGAATACACACACGCGGAACATGATCTGACATCGAACGTATACAAACGCAACAATGGCGGCGCTTTCGCGATGTCAATAAATAAGCATAATAAGCGGAGCGATAATATCATCTCACACTGTACTGTGAATGAATTACGTATTGGTCGACTTCATTTCAAATCGTCCAGGAAAAATAAAATCATGTTTCAAAAACCGAAACTAAAAAACATTTTTGTGTATTCTTTTTTTTTTTTTAGTTTTTGATTTTAAAAGGACCGAAGAGCGATTTTGGGATTTGGGCAATCGTCACAGGTAAATGACTTTGTAAGCTACATTATAAGGGAAAGAAAAAAAAAATACCGATAAAAGATTTTTTGTTTTTTTGTTTTTTAATATCGAGAGCCTGGAACTTTTGACGACAATTTACAAGCATTGGATTATGATAAATTTTGTAACAATCAAGTTTATGACAGATTATATACGTATTAAATGAAAACTTAAAGAAATACCTATTCAGAAAGCGCAATATCGATATAATCAAATAAAGTTATAATGACAAAAAAAAAAAAATAGGCAGGATACAGGAAGAAGCAGCAAATAAGGAACGCTCCTTATTTGCTGCTTCTTCCTGTATCTTGCCTATTTTGGGATTTGTTTTGTTATGTGTTTGCACATGTGATGTCTTCGCGAATGCAATTTTACTGTATGACCAACCCCTGACGAAGCGGGGTCCTCCCGGCGAAACGGTTGGGGAATAACGTTTTAAATTTTTAAGTTCTAAGTTCCCAAGGTGTGTTCTGTCGACATTTTCATTTATATATATATATATATAGAGAGAGAGAAGGTTTTTGAGGAATGCCCTTTTTTTCTGCAGTATTTGAAATGAAATCTTTCTATTATTACTAACATGGTAGGTGGCAGGTTAAGAAAAGGACAAACCCCTTTCAGAAAGCTCTCAGCTTGCCATGGTTGCTGGTTTCCTCTCATCCCCTCGCTTTCTTTCTAGCATTCACTCTGCCAAAGTGGAAAGAGTGTAAAGCTTTACTGGCGTTTCTTAACCTGCAACAGAGTATATTCAAAGGCCCATTAGTGCTCCTGCGCATTTTGATGCTACACTTTCGGTACACGTTCGGAACGGGCACATTTCTTTCGCATAACTTTCTTGCGAGAGGAGAGCCGCAAGGTTAATGATGTGTCTGCGCGCGAAACACGATCCTAGAATCGGAGAAAAATCGGAACAGGCGAAAATCGTTGCGCGCTTATTTCGCACAACGAGCGTATTTATTGCATGCAAGGAAAAATATATTATATGTGGTCTCATCCAAAGCACATTCGCTATTTCTTTATCGCAGGTTCCAACATGTGATAAACTTTTTTATGCGTTAGCATTCATTATTTTGACGAAACCCCGGCGGTGTCCTCCATTTTTCAGCGCCTGGGAGAGAGGGAGAAGGAGGGGGAGAGGGTGACGTGTGCCACGCTCCTATTGGTCCGAAGCGCTGACGTCGGCACGCGTCAACCTCTCCCTTTCTCGCCGGCGCTGACAAACTGACAGACACCACCGGGTTTTCGTCAAAACAAGCCCCTTCGTTTTCGTCAAAGCCACGCTCACAGCTGGCGCGGAGCCAGAGAGGAAGAGGCGCCGCGCAACACCTCCTAGATAACAAGGCCTTAGTGCTGAATGAGGTGGCTTCATCAGAGATGGCAAACGCTGAACACAAACCGGAACGAGTGCTGCGTCGGCGCTCGGCTTATTCGAGTCAAGTTTGAGTCGAACGTTGGCGCAATCGTCGTGTCCCATCGGTGCTCAGCGTTGGTCTGCTCTGATGACGCCGTCTCATTCAGAACTACGGCTTTGTTATCTAGGAAGTGTTGCGCCGCGGCGCGGTGGAATGCGGGCGCGCTCAGTTGCCGCTCTGCCGTCGCCGGTTGTTCTTCGCTCTGGGTTTTCGTAGTAGCGATCCGTGGGCTGTGATGTGTGTGTGTGTGTAGTTAAAACAATGGATGCGGTTCCCTGCACGAGTGATATGGATGGATGCGGTTTCTTCCACGAGTGGTATGAATCTGGTTCTTTCCCCGAGTTATATGGATGATCGTGGGCGTCGACGTATTCTGACAGTCAAAGTACAAAGAAAGGGTAAAAAATTATAGGAAAATACATTGGTAAATTCTTAGAGAATGCGTTAGCACGACCCTTGGAAACGCCGCACGTCCCCCTTTGGGAAACGTTAACACTGACCCCGTAACAAGGCCAAAAAGAGGCAGCAAAAGATATGGAAGCCAAAAGAGAAAAGTGAAGGCGTCAGCGTTAAGCGCGATCCAAACCAACGCTTCTTTTTGCGCCTGTAGGTCGTGCGGCTGCGGATGTGACGCATTTCGTGGCGTTTTTGCTGTTTCCGGGCGCGCTTTCTGAGTCAGACCCGTGCGCTTTGGTTTGGACGGGCAAAACTTCGGGCGAGCGCGCACGCGCGCACGCAGGCACCCGCACACAAGCAAAGTGCAACTGCGACAGACTGGCCGGCGAGACGGCGAGAGAAAGAGAGAGAGAGAGATCGCGTTGTCACGTTGGAAGAGAATAAAAGGGGGGAGGAGAGGGCAGCCAGACGGCGAGAAACGCGGAGCCGGAACTAGCTTGCCCTCCACCGATTGGCGGGACATAGGAGCGCCCTATACACGAACTCATCTCTGTTACGTCACGGCGCGGTGGTGGCGCGTCGGACGCACTTCCGGTCTGGGGCTGTGGGCGGAAGTGCCCATCTGAGACGTGTATTCCTGCGTTGTTTTGAAAGGAACCAGACAAAAACTTGCCTTCTTGTCAAAATGCTGCGACTGGGGCTGTACCAGAGGGGTCGAGAAAGGTGTGAAGGTCAGTTTTCATGCGCTCGGGTCGTCCGAGAACGTGGATATGCCGTGAAAAGGAAAAACCAGACGCCGTCGGGCCACGACTGCTTGGGCGGAAAGCATTTTGGGTTGAATTCACGGATACTTCTGGTCTGGCCATCAGATTTATTTGTTTTGTTCCAAAATGAACGCCGGAAAACCGTTAAGTTGTACGGACCACCTGCGGACTACGTTCAGTGCGTTTTCAAGTTCAAACGGTCGCCTGATCGTTCGAACTGTCGTCTGCTCTTTCAAACGTTTCTGCTTGTCGTCTGCTCTTTTAGAGGACACCGGCCCGTAGACCAAACGCGGGCCCGGTACTTGCGATAAGAAGTAAGTGCAGGCCTCAAAAGACTTAAGTTTGAAGGTTGGTAAGCAGGCTCGACGTAAACAGTAGATACAAGAAGATGCTGATCATTGTTACCAGTGACCATCACTGACTTGTTATGCCTGATTCACTTGGTTAGATTCTGCTTGCGATTTTCAGTATCGACGTCAACCATCTCAGCTACGGTTCACGCTTTTGCAGTCCGAGCGACGTCGCTACTAAATATTGCGAGCGAAATCTCAGCATGTGAATCAGGTTTTAGCGTCCATTCTGCGGCGTCCACGCGGAATGAATCGCCGCATGTCAGGTCACGCGACGTTTTGCGGTGTAACGAGCCTCGTTAATTTCACTGACGCCGCTCAAGTAGTCAGACATCGTTAGGAGGACGTAGAATCAACAATTCCAACGCGAAAAAGAGCGCGGGGACTCACACCGACGCCGACAACATCGCATTTCAATGGTTTGTTTATGGGCGACGGCGAGCTTCTTGCCCACACCCCCATCGCGCATGCGCGGCGCCGGTGGCGTCCGCTAGGGGCGCTCCGGGCGCTCCAGTTGGCACTGCGGAGTGAATATAGATTTCACATTTAAATATTCTAAGCTTAAATGGTAAAACAAAATGGCTAGGTGGCGTAAGCTACCGCCCGATCCAAAGGGCTCAGCCTTATTCATCCATCCATCCATCCATTTGTTTGTAAACATGAGTTGGTGTATACGTCACCGCGCGTTTTTGTGCGCGTTGAGAAAGAAGTTGAAATCAACCAACTTTTTTATGCGCGCCCGGAAGGAGCGAAGAAGTGGCGCGACGTCACGAAAATACGTCACATCCGCAGCCGCACGACCTACAGGCGCAAAAAGAAGCGTTGGTTTGGATCGCGCTTTACCGTTTCCCAAAAAGGGGGGGAGTCGTGTGTGGCGTTTCCAAGGGACGTGCGAACTTATTCCCTAAGAATCCACCAACGGATCTTCCTGTAATCGTTTTTTTTTAACTAGTGTGAAATGAGCAATTTCTTTATTTTCTGTTGTTTCTTTTACATTTTTCTGTTGTTTTTTGTTGTTCACATTCCATGTGACATTTTTCTGTTTTTTGCATTTTTCAAACTCTACAGACGACAAGAAAAAAAAAAGATAAAAGGCGACGCTGCACGTTACTTCTTATAGGTTATTTTACATGCGCAAAAATTCAGAGACTAAATATGTTTCAGAACGGGCGTGCTTCCTAACATAAACAGCTTTCCCGCGCTTCTTCCCACTGACCGGAGCAGGTGCGTCCGCTCTTCCACTTGGTGTCCGGGTACTTGTCCGTGTAGCCGGCCTTGCAGGCGCACCGAAACGTGCCGAACACGTTCTCGCACACTCCGTTGGCCGAGCAGTCGTTCAGGTTCATGTCGTTGCACTCGTTCACGTCTGCGGGAAGAAACGAAACCGTTGCGCGCTGCTCGCACGTGCATATTGCACGCGCGGGTCCTTGGTGCTTCGAGGCTGCACTCCGCACCCTGCAACGTTCTTGCGCTTCTTGGGGTGAACACTTCGTTCTACCATTGCACAAATGTAGAGCAAAACCTTGAAGCGGTTTCAGTTGGGGGCCTGCGCAGCTTGATTGCTGATACAATGAAAATCAAAACTGCTTTCCTCGGCTCGTGACTGAAGGTTTAGTGGCAGACTTATTTGTACGAAGATGACTTTGGTAGCCGCCATAGCTGTGTGCGCAGCTGTAACGTCAAACTATCCCCGAGATTTTTTTTAATTTTTATTTTTTCATAATAATTTTTTTTTAGATGCCAAGTTATTGTACGCACAGCTCGAACTATTGGACACGGATGAAGACCTCATACACGAAGTCATAATAGACAAGGAAAACAAAGTTACCTGTCACAGCCCAAAGCTAACAAATTTACGCAAAAATGCCACTGAGTCAGTTCATTTCGTTTGGAATACAGTGCCGCTGCGAAAAAGTGTCTTTGGGTATTTTTGGTCATTTGGCGTCTTTTGTAAATTGCACCGATCATCCAACCGCGTAAACTAAAGAAACCCCTGTGCAACTGTATAGTCGTGTACCTATAGTTTCCTTTTCTCAATGAACGGGACCACTGCAAGACATGTCTTCAGAATAAAGTCGATACTAAACACCGTAGTGCACTCACCATCGACGGCAAGTCCCGAGTTGAGCATGCCGTCGACGAAGAGTCTGCTCTCGCCCACGTTGGAGTTGCGTCGGTTGATCATGTTGACCACTTCGTGCTGCAGCACGCGCTTGACCGACGGCACCCGGGTGATGTCGTTCTCCTCCAGCTGCACGGTGGCGTTCACCATCACCTTGCTGCCGGCAGACTGGAACTTGTTCACCGTCACGTCCATAAATACTCGCGAGAAGCTCGACTTGGTGAACAGGCTGTGGAGCTGCGGGGCGAAAAAGACGTGAAATGGACTTTCTGCTCCTCTCCCTGCCAAATCTAGTGAGTCGTGTGCTGTGCTGTAAGAGGCAGCTTCCGCATGCCCCTGCACGTTTTGATCTGAATGAACACCGAACCGGTGTGTGTCCATAGAATCACTGCTGCGTGATGCGCGATAAGGACCACAGGTTAGCAACCGTACTTCACTGGCTGCATTATTCGCATAGAATGTGAACCGGTGTCGCTATACCCCAAAGTCTAACGTTTACAGGGTGTTTCTAGAAACGTGAGCAAAATCGTTTCTCCGAAGAATACGCATCGCACAGAAAAAGGTTGACGCGTAGTGGTCTCTACTGAAGGGCCCAATAAGGAGTATTGTTAGCGTTCAGTATGAGGACCTCAAGTTCGTCTGCTTCTTGCACAGGGGTTTGCGATGATGCCAGAACGCCGAGCTCTTATTTGGCTGATTGAAGGAAAACAAAAATAGTGGGTAGACCTTAAAGGGATACTACAACGAAATTTCGGCGCTCATTTTTTGGTCTATATGTGTTCAAAGAAGCAGTATCCCATCGAACATGCCAATATATTGTTAAAAAAGTCTCGAAAAGAAAAGAAACAGAGAAACGTTTGATGCCGTAGTGGTCTCTATAGAGACCACTACGGCATCAAACTTTTCTCTGTGCGATACGTATTTTTTTCACAGGAACTATTTGGCTCACGTCTCGAGAAACACCCTGCATACATAGAGCTTGCACTGACGTCACATCAGCTGTCATTACGGGGGTTGGGCCGCTGAGTGCGTGCCTTTTTCGGCATACATCTCGCTCAAGAAAATTCGTTATACTTGGCAAAACAAGTGGGAATGAGCATGGTGCGATAGGCATTCTAGTCTAAATACTGCACGCCCAAGTTTGCTCTGCACAAGGGACACAGGCGCGGGAACGCAGCTTTACAAGATGCTTAACCGGCATTAGCGCTCCCCTTTAAGGTGACATATTGATTTCATTGAATTATGCAAACAGCTTGAATGCAGTGCCATATCCTCCTCTATACTCATGACACCTGGCAGTTGGATGACGGAGCCATAAAGTGCCCGGTCGCAGATTTGGAGCGCGAAGATCTGGTAGAGCAGAGCATTTCTCGGGGAATCTGGTATTCAGCGCACAGCTTTTGCAGCGGCGAGAACCCGAAACATGACTTTCAAACCCGACGAGAAAGGAAGCGGTAGCGCAAGGAATGTGAGGAGCGCGAGCGGACATTTCATCGCTCGGGTCAAGTGTGTCTCGGCGTCCCGACGCAGCGGGGCGCCCGTTACATGACTCTTGTCTGCCGCTCTACCTTTTCACTTTTGGCGGCTGCGTCACGTGACGATCTACCAGGCTTTGTCATGATAGAGGAGGCTATGGCAGTGCCTAATCACCGCGACAAAGAACAAAGTTACATTATTTACTCTATTTACTCGATATCGAACTAGTGGGCACGTTTCCCCTCTTTCATTCATTGCCTAAACAATGATCGCGCATCTAGTTTCCTGCGGGTTATGTGGAGGGACGTTATCTGAAGAGAGCCCGCCAAAAAGCACGGTCAAGAAAAAGGCCGTCTGCGCTAGTGTATATAGCTTGCCAAGCGTAATTATCAGTGTCCAAGCCAAAATCATTCGTGTTCGCGTCTTTGGCCTATCTCTTTTTATCTTCTTAGTGATTGGTATTTCATGCGCTATGCAGAAAAGTAGACATCTCTGTCCCCCACAGTTTTTTTTTTTTCGAAGACCGTTTAGAAGGCGTTTAGCGCAAGAATTTATATTGTTTCATATAGCTATAATACAAATGGGGCTTCATACGAACTGATGATTTGGGATTATCTGAACCTGTAGCATGTTTACCTCGTTAGGCGACGTAAGAGGATTAACACACACACAGACACACACACACACACACACACACACACACACACACACACACACACACACACACACACACACACACACACACACACACATATATATATATATATATATATTCGTTTATCTTCACTCTAAAGGAGTGTGAAGAGCAGGCAAAAAGCTGCGGTTGCAGCTTGACAGGCTCCTGCCCCCCAACACTTGACATACAGTGCAGTATAAAAATCAAACCAAATAATCACTCAAAGCATAACATTTACATACAGAACATTTAAAGTCTAGCCATCCAAGAAATGGAGTAACAATAATCCAGACATAGACGCACAAAATATATACCGGGTCAAGTAATAGTAGAGTAATGATAATGCAAATATTATAACTGGTGAGACAGCATAAATAACTTGTGGTGCGTCATTTTAAAGTTGGCGCAATAAGTATAGTGTAAGTACTGAGCAACAACTGTCATTGAAATGTACGCTTACCGCTTGCTTTGCCTCATACTCGAGAAGTTGGTAGTCTTCCGATTCTGGATTTCTGTAGTTTCGGTTGAACACCAGCTTTTGTTCACCCAGGCGATCGAGCTTCAGAGTCAGTCCGACGGTCACAATTGCTGCGGGGGAAAAAAAGTATTGCTCTATGTACCATCTATTTTATTCGAAAATATAGTACTAGTAATTGACACGGCCTTCGCTAAACACAGGTAGCATTTATCTACGAACAAGAATAAGTTTAAGGACTTCAAAACTGCGCAGTGTCTTCCGAACGTTATTGCATCGCTTACCAGTCACAACTTGTAATCCCGTAACCCCTTGGGTGCTCATAACGATGGGGATAAAATGAGATTGCAAATTTGTGCGAAACTTATTCTTGGATATGATGCCACAATGATTGTATTCTTGATACTAATATAATGAAGGCTAACAAAAGTGAGGGACGAGGACGACTTGTACCGGTACATGTCCGTCCTCACCCCTCCCTTTTGTTTAGCTTTCATTTTTACTAGTATCTACGTCCACACGCTCGTCCAACCCTCTCACTTTCTGTATCTCTCTTTCTTGTACTCATGAGCCGTCATTTGCCATAGAAACGTTGCTCCAGCCTACCGAAGAACCATTACAAAAACACATTCCAATGAAGCTACTGACTCACGGTCTAAAATGTATTTTTCCCCATGGGAGCACTCTGTCACAGGGCGGTCTATATTAGCCGTGGCATACTAAAGTCTGTTGCAGGTTAAGAAGAGCAGGACAAGCCCCTCCGCAAAGCTCTCTGTACGCCACGCTTTGTGGTTTCCTCCTCTCCACTCGCCTCCCCTCCAGCGTTCGCTCTGCTGGATCGGGAAGAGAGGAAAGCTTTTTGAGAGGAGCTGATCCTGATTTTCTAACCTCCAGCAGATTATTATAACTAACATTTTTTTTTAAATATATGTCTTAAACGCGGTAACACCGAGTTAAAGGTGATTAACAAGCTGTAGACTCACGCGTGCAAGGTCCCCTAGGCACGGTCCTGGTGAATCCTGGCCTACAGTGACAAGAACTAACGCCAAGTTCGGCCTTGCACCACTCGTTCAGCTGGGAGTCGCACGTAGAGTCATCGCCCACGATGCATGTGTCGATCCTAAAATGCCAAGCATGCACAATAAAGCACGAACGACGACCGACAGCTCCTAGAAGGCTCCACGCGTCCTATCTTTTCAGGGAAACCGAAGCGGTTCTGTATTTGAGGAAAAACACTTAAGTCGTCTTCATTTGGCTTCCAGGATCAGACATATCGAAATTTTCTTTTTCTTTTTTTTTCAGTTTGATGCACGGAGGCTGCAGAAAATCATTTTCAAAGTCCCTCTGAAGCCCGTCCTTCCCGGAGCGTGACGTCACATCAGGAATTATCGGAATCTCCGCTTTCGCGCATCGTCAACACCTATCAAAGCTATGCACGCGCACTCTCGCAATTTTCAAAAAAGGATCAGGAAAAGACGTCACGACTGGTATCAGCGCGAGGAAATAAATCTGGCAATCTTGCAATTGCACGCGCTACCCACACGAGCGACGCGCGCTTGGCGGCCCAAAGATCGTAGTATAGACGCTTTGCAGCAGCTGTGCATGGACGTCGCCATAACTGACCTTCAGTTTTTGTTTCCTCTTATTTCGTTTATTTTACTTCATCATTACCATAGCAGGCCAGGTTATTGCCATATTAGATTCCATTGTGTCCTTTTCTAAAGCATCGGCCTTTGTAGAGGATCGTCAACTACCGTTTCAGTTGCTCGGCATCTCGGTAAGACAAGAGAAGGTCAGCAATGGCGGCTGTAATTTGGCGCGTGTGTAAAGCGTCTATATGTACGTAACGACTGGTCGGAGGTTTTTCGTGTTTTCTTGCATTTATTTAGATCTTCGGGGAAAACGAACGCGATATTCAGATTCACGGGATAATAACAAGATAGAATTTACCTCTGTCTCGTTTTCTGCGAGAATCTTTTCAGCTTCCCCGTTAATCTTACGCTAGCATGGTGTTCAAGTAACTCAGCGATGCCACATCGCTCGGGCGTTGAATAAAAGTAATTAAGTGGTTTTCTATAGTATGAATGCTACCCAAATAGATTAAACGATTACATTTCATTCTAGTTTTCTTTGCACTTGCCGTTTAGTATTATGCCTCACTTCTAAGATATTTAAAAGCAGTACTGTCACAACCACATTATGATTTGGTTGCTACCATGCCTTGACAAAGAATCAAACAAGTTTGAACCTCATAAAGAAGGCTGCGGTCAAATGAGCGGGAATATATTGACACATTTCAATTCAGGCTCTCTTATTGCTTACATTGGCCCCGTGTGCAATGATGCTTATTATAGAACAGAGTGTAAACATATTGGCTGCATGGTTGGTCATTCTCCCAAACGCGTTTAAATGCGGTAGCCTCATACGGCAGGTGATGCCTAGGGCAGGATGAACCTTACAATTTTAGTGCCTTGTGTGGCTGGTGGTCTTAGTTCATGCGGTGCCTAGGGCGGGGTTTTGTATAAAAACAAATTACGACACACCATTGTCTTTTTGTGACGCTGCAGCGCGCTTTCCTTCATTACCACCCGGATGCAACATTTTTTCACAGAAATTTCTGGGTCAACAAAAGAAGGGAATTGCGCTTTTCTGCTTTTTTCACTCCTCGTTTCGTGCGCTTTCTACACCACCTGTTTCTGCTCCTCTTTTTCTTTGTTTTCTACCCCTCTCCGCTCCGCGCGCTTTATGACACCACCTGCTTTTGCTCCTCCCGTTCCTAAGTGCTGGGTCCGAAGCGTCAGCAGCTGACTCGGCTTCCAGGCCGGTGACCGGAGTTCGATCCTTGGCACCGGTTGCCGTTTATCTTTAAGATCGCTTAGCGGTTAAGGACTGACTGACCTACGCATTTCCGGCATAGGCGGCTCTTGAGGTTGGTTGTGTCTATAAGGCTACCAATTTAAAAAGCTACCGCTTTAAAAAAAAAAAAAAGGGGGGGGGGGGAACAGAGGAAGACAAATACGTCAGACAGGCGCTCGTCTTTGGTCTTTTTTTTTATGCGCTCTGTTTTTATAAGGCATCATAACCAACTAGCCCAGTTTTCAACATTTGTGATGATGCTTACCTCACAAGTGTGGTGTTGTGCTTAGCTCTGTAAGGCGGCCTGCGTCGAGGAGGGCCCTTGGAGGTCTGTTTCTGACCGGACGTCGTCTGTGTCTTGGGCCTCGGAGTGCTTCCCAGGGGAGGTGAGCCCGGTGGTCGTGGGAAGCCGTGCGACAGCTCTGGCGGGAACCCAATGACGGGGCGCACATCTTCGATCTCCACCGGAATCACGATGGGTCTTCCCGTCGGTGACTGGTGCTGCTGGTGTCTGACCGGCGCTCTCGTGTGCGTCATCTCCGGAGTCAGCGTCCCCTTCCCGGAAAGCGTCATGACAGCGTCCGAGTCCTTCGTGTTTGGCTGAGTACTCGTCGGTGAAAGGCTCACCAGCGGTGTCTTGCTGGGCACGATCTTGTCGATCGTCGGAGTTCCATATATGACCTCCGGCTCTCGGTCACGTTCATCCACCCTTGACGGGTACGCCTCGGTGGGCGCGGTTTGCGTCACCGTCGTCTTCGCTTCTTCGATCTGGAAAGTGTCGATGGATTCGTCCGAGCCTCCTACCTCACTCCGGGTCGGTGGAATTGTCTCGAACGTAGGCTGCTTTGTTTTGGAAGGTGTGACATTGTGGTTGATTGTCCCGATGGAGTGAACAACGGTGATGTCGAATACGGAGGGTTCAGTTGGTTCTGTTATGATCTCGGGCTCTTCGGCTGTGTTGACAGTCACTCTGGTACTGTTGTGTCTGTTCGAAGAGTCCAAAAAGACTGGTAGCCAACCTGACACAGGACCAGACGGCACATCGCTTGGTCTATCGAAGGTATCGCTTGTATCTGTGCTGTGAGTGTCCTGGCTGGTACTTTCGCTAACATCCGGCGGCCTCTCTTCAGACGCCGTTCCCACTGACCGCGTCGGGTCTATGCTTGCGCTCGTGGATGTCACGGGGCCCTCATGAATGAGCACGATAGTTGACTTACTGGAAGGAAGCTGTTCCGTAGTGGACTCCGGGACGCTGTCAAGGACTGTCTCTCGGTGCATCGTAACGTCGTCCACGTGCCCATTGTGAAGGTCTACCTGAGACAGGGCCGGAGTCGCTGAGTGTCGGTCGTTCTCCATCGGTGGCATCTCAGGCTGCCTGTCTTGCTCATTGAGACCAAGCAGGTGACTTACTTCAGAAGGCGTTGGGTAGACAGTCGGCGGATGTGGCAGGGGAACGATGTGAATGTGCTGCTGCGGATGGTGCGGGTGGTTTGGATGATTCACTGGCGGGAAGTGCAGGTTTGGCGGCGGGGGCCGCGGGATGGTGTCAAAGTGGCCTGGTTGCGGAGGGGCTAAATGTGGCAGGTTTGGCCTTGAGTGCTGATGGTGTGGAGGGTGCGGGGGGTGTGGAAGGTGATGAGGAAACTGCGGCGGGCGTGGCGGAGGGGGCGGGAAATTGAAGTTCGGGGGACCTCGGTTATTGATGCGTGACGGCAACTTGTGTGGTTGCGGCGGTGGCAGAAGGGGAGGAGGCGGAAACCGCATGGACGGAGGTCTAGGCTGGTTCGCGTCCCCTCCTAGCAGCTGGATGATACCGCTTAAGATGTTGTCAATAGACGGCTTGCCGCCGCCCCCGCGGGTTCGTTCTGACGCTGACACGGGAGACGGCATGATGGGAGTCGCCTCTCGCCCGTGAGAATGGTGTGGAAAGTGCACCGATGCCGACGCTGTTGACGGATGAATGCTGCGCAGAACCCGGAGGCTGGGATCCAAAAGCTCTTCAGGGTCTTCGTCTGAGATCTCGGACGCCGATGATGGGGACGCAACGTCTATAGCTTCAGGCCCGGGAATAAACGACGCCTCGGTGGAGCCTGTTGGGGGTTCAATGACTGCTCCTCCAGATGCTCGCGTTCCTGTTTTTTGATGAGCAATTGCGTAGGAACTACTTGATGAACTTCCTCCTTCTAGAGCAAGCTCAACTATTCGCAATTGTGAACTGACGGTGCTATTGACCACGTCTTCGTTATTCAGGTTTTCTTGAAGAACGGGCAAGACCGAGCGTGATACCGTGGAGAAGACGAACACGGACGATGAATTTGGTCTCACAGGTGCCTTTTCTGTTCTTGTGTATTCTTCCAATAGTGAACTCGAATTAACTCGGTCTTGCTGCTTGTGTTTTTCGGTACGAATTGGCAAGGACGTTGACAATGTTTCGAATAGGGAAACCGGAGTGCTATGGCTGCTTGATAGAATCTCACCGGGGTCCTTCTCAATAACAGAAGTGTTTGTCGTTATTTGATAACTAGGGATGAACGTAGATGGTCTTGTGATGTATTCTTGTGAACTATGAATCAATGAAGCTAATGTGCCTCTAGAAACTTCCTCGGGCTGACTATGTGTGATGGTATGAGTTGCAATAATGTCACCATCTGAAAACAGAAAAGAAGACACATATAAGAAACGAGCCTAAAATAATGTACTCACATAGATTATCTTCACTTCAACAGGTGCTAGGACGCCAGTTTTATACATGCTGTTAAAACAGCGTCGGAAATCTAGGAATCAACATCGTAAAACGAATATGCGAATAAATAAATTCAGAAAGCCATCCAGACATTCGTTGAAATGTTGTTGCACAGAAAGGTTTAGTGCGGAAAATAATTATATCTTATTCTGAAATTTGGATAGAGTCTTGTTTGACGAGCTACGTCAGACGTAAGTGGTATGAGAGCTTGCCGAACCTTGGACTCGCCTGTATATTTTCTTCGCTTATGGCAACAAAAAGAGGAGGAGATTGTCTTCGTTCACAATTCCTGTCCCAGTTCCACTATGTCTCCATCGTAGCTCACACTATCACCCAGATCTCTGTGCACAGAGACGGGGTTCTTGAAGAAGAAAAAAAACTACAAAAACGATTTAGAAAAAAAAAAAGAAAAACACTGAATTACGTAGACTATCAGTGTTAGAAAGGCGAGCCGGGCGTGACGCCTTCGTTCTTTTCCAACTACGAGGCACGTCTTGACGATGCGCCATTTTTTTTTTCGATGCTGAACGTTATCAGAAGTGCCAGTGACCTCCAGGTGACTGACACGCGTGGTCCTCGCCGCGGCGTTGATTGCCGCCACCGGGTAATGCATCGTGGCGAGAAAGTGTCCTCAAAAAGGCGCACGACTAACGCTGAAGCACGCCTCCGCGGTGACGCGAACACTGGAAGCCATTGTCCTGGTTCCACGAGTGTGGGAAACGAGCAACGTCGTTCCTGTTCCTTGCTTTTTTTTCTTTTTTTCTTTTTTTTTTAATTGTTTTTTGTTGAGCATTGGAGACGAGACAATAGCTTTTGAGACGTCACCAGCAAAAATAAAGGTGCCACTGCGGGGAGTTTTCGTTCGCTGCGACGCGAAATGACGAGACAGCACACACTCCTGTTTCGACGACAGTAGACACACTCACTATCATGCGTACTTTTTCAAGTCCGCGCCTCTTGTGTTTCGTGATGACAGCACCGGGGCAAGTTTGCCCGTTACGCGTTACGTCGAGAAACGCAGCGTGTGGTGAGGGCCGGGTATCTTATCATCGCTTCACAGCCAATATGACTGTCACACACTTCCGTTTGACTGCGACAGACCACGCTACATGCGGGTTTTAAGACGCTTGTGACTGCTTAGGACCGGCAGCGCTGCTGCGCAACCATTCGTACGCAGTTACAAAACCTTGCAACCGAGTAGGACGGAGAGAGCCAGGACAGGTTTTTAAACCTCTTGCGACGGCCTAGGACCTGCTCCGCAGTAGCGCATTCGGTGGTCCGCCATCGCAAGAGGCTTAAAAACCGGTTTTGTCTCACTCGGTCCTACTCGTCTGCAAGTGTGTGAACGGCGCTTTAGAAAGCGGTAGTAGCGCAGGCAGTCGAAGTCAAACGCCAGAGTGTGAAGCCTTTCTAAGGCTGGTTCACACACTTGCGTTTGACTATATAACCGCGAGCGCCCCACGACCATTTTTTAAGGCTCTCTCTTCGTAAGGAATAGCAAGTACCAGTCTTTACACTGCACGCAAAGTTCCCCTTATCAGATGAAGGCAAAGGTCGTTTTTGGTCTTATATTGTTCAGAATATGTTAGTTCCCACAGATACCGAGTGCTACATTACAAAACCACCTATTACTCTCAGGTCAAGAAAAAAAAAAAACAAAAAAAAAACGCATTTTCACGTGGTGAATGACGTTGATTGGGGCGGAGCTCTGGTGGTGCTTGTCTGCGTAGACGCTGAGCCGCAGCATGCCGAGCCTTTCGTTCGTTTTCATCCATGTCACGCTGCGGTCAAATTATCAAATGCGTATATAACCACGTTCCAAAGCACACATTCTCTTTCTGACACGGATGAAAATGAACCAGAGGCTCGGCATGCTGCGGCTCACCGTCTACGCAGACAAGCACCACATGAGCTTCGCCCCAATCAACATCATTCACCACGTGGAGATGCGGGTTTTTATGCCCTACACGAGCACGGGAGCACGTGCTCACGTGCTCGTGAGCACGAGCACCCGACGCCGGACATCGGACGGACGTACGGACATGGCTAGCCCCTAAGGAGCTTCGCCCCTAAACCATGTGGACTCTTTTTTTTCTCGCCGTCTGCATTGTGTGGACCAATCAAAGCCCAACAATACGCGCAGATTCCGAATGATTTTATTATAACTGGTTTCGAAGAGAGTCTAATAGGTACACATTCGGATAAGAGTCCTCCTTTTCTCCGCGGGCGAAGCCATCGCTTGCAAATCGCCGATAAGCGCCCTTCGTCGACCACTTTATTGGAGGAAAATTCTTCCCAAAAAGGGCGTGTCGCCATCTTTGAACACGCTTTTAATGAGTAAATGAGCTACGCACGGTGGTGGTTTCGGGTTTGTTGGGATGCTTAGAGCGCCTAGATTGAGTTGCCACTACAAAAGGGCGGTTTCAGAATCGACTTCAGTGCCCTTTTAATAAAACGCAAATTGTGTTAAACGTTAAACAGATGCTGGTCGGCGCTTCCCCAGCATGATGTCAACCACGCACCGAAAAAGTAGCTGGAACTAAAATAGGAGGAATGTTGTCGGGTTGAAGGGCCCAAGGGGGGGGGGGGGGGGTGAGACGTTTGAAGAAGAATTTTTACGACTCCAAGCGCATCCCGAGTTGCCCTAGATTCCAGAGATGGGAGATGGAGCGTATCAAACGGTTTTCTTTCGGCTAGTTTGCGTGTTGCAGCCGCTATGTATCAAGCGTATCAGTAGCCCTCTCTACATGCAGGGCATCGGCAAGGGAGAGGAAGATGGCATCGGCATTTTTGTAAAGTGCAAATAATCGAACATATTATGACCAAAAGAGAGGAAAGCGAGCAGTTTTTTTTTTTTTTTTTTTTTTAATTTGTTTACCCGCTCGAGCAGCGTTTGTACGCTCGGTGAGTGCAGCGAACGTCGTTTCGGATGGTGTGAATTCAGTTCCCCCTGATCAGATAATTATGAAATATCAATTCGCGGGACCCAAGTAATTTTTGCAAGACCGAACGCACGTCTAGCGTGGTATGACCTGTATTGTATTATCTCTCCTCCTCCTCCTCCCAAGCATATATTATTTATTTATCCACTCTCTCTCTCTCCTTATCCCTTTGTCAGCACAAGTTTTTATTTCAGTGGTTGCCATTGAGCTTCGAAACATAACTTTCGCAAAAAGAAGAAAATCGATATCCGTCTACAATTGCTGGAAAACAAAAATTAGGCGGTATATTAATCCGTCTAGGGAGCGAAAAAAAAGAAAAGTATATACATATATATATATATATATATATATATATATATATATTCGAACTGGTGCTTTTCGAATTGTGCTCCAACGTCTTGGGGGAAAAGCTGTTCAAATTAGATTTTGTGTGCGCTTTTAATGAGAGTGTCCGTTTTGTTTCACAAGTGTAAGCGTATGTGGCAGTCCTTCACTTCAGAGGGAGAAAGAAAGTTGTACCAAAAACTTTCTTCCATAGCGAGTGTCCAGAGAAGCGTTGGAATCTTAAAGCGGCTGGAGCTAATCGGGCATTTCTTTAGAGCAGCGAGGAATACCAGTCGTGCGTGGCTGCGATTTGGAATTTCCGAATGCTGTCGTTTGTACTACGCTCCGGGGCACTCTCGATTTTAGGTAAGCTTCTTGTTTCGCTCTGGCAAGCATAACTGTGATCATCTGCGCGATCTGTAGCGGCGCTTCGCGAAATTATCAAGCTATATTTGCTAGATATTTGTTTTGCATTATTTAGTGGTATGCCGCTACGGAAGCGACTCGTTCATTGAACTCGCCTTATTTTGTTTAGCTGTATTGCGCCTTTTGCTCTGTTTTTTTTTTTTTTTTGCAAGCAATGTGCGTATATGGTGATGTGAATAAAATTTGTTGAGAACCACCAAGTTTTCAATTTATAATAATATTATACAATAAGAGGGGCATATATCTCATGCTATAAACTTTTTAGGGACATTTTCAATGCACAAAAATATGAAGAGAAAAAATTAAAACTTTGCCGTAACGCTTCATGTGGGCATTTTGAGAACTATAGGACTGTGAGATATGCCATACATGTGTCCATTTATGCTTATCACTAAAAACGACCAACCTAACTGACATCAAATGAAAACAAACAAAAAAATATAGGGACCATGTTCTAAAATTTCCATTCGCATTAACGACTTCAGGACACTCTTCTCGTACCACTTCTCAGTGCCAACATCGCATCATATTGGCAGTGCACTAAAGGGTAGAAGTGTGCTGACTCGAAAAAGGCACAATCCCACTAGGAACGTTTGCGCTGCAATGACACAACTCAATGCAAGAAGTTCGCGCCCCACACCCTGGCTGCACTTTCTGAGACAGACAACCTTTCAGTCGAACCCTCAGCGGACCACAAGGCACGTCGTTGGCAATTTTGACGTCGGGTGCATCCCCATACAGAAAAACACGGCGGATATTGTCGTCGTATACAAATGGCATAGCGGCATCCAGGTCAGCCGGTAAATCACCGTTCTTCACCACACGTAATAGTGACCTTTTGCGCAACATGTTCGCGGAGACGTCCCACTGCAGCGTCGACCCGACGAGCCTCCACGACCCTCTGAAGTTCCGATCGAGTCACGAGGACAGACAGCACAATTGGCAGCCTCCGTACCGGCGCGCCATGAGCGCGTCTGCCGCCCAGACAGGCCGTAAACAACGAAGGTCGTCGTGCCGCGTCTTTTCTCGTGCACTTCTCTCGCACGCCGCGAACTCGGTCCTTCCCAAACGGCAAACAGACCTCTTCTTGCTGGCAGTTTGGGTTGCACGTCCGTCGCTCGAATCACGTCGGCGACTGTTACCGCGGTATATCGCAACTCCAGCGCGCCGCTCGCCCTCCCGCGGACGAACGGAGAACCAGAGGAGCGGGGAC